CGTCGCGTGCGTGTGTGTGTGTGCGTGCGTGCGTGCGTGCGTCTGTGTGTGCGTGCGTGTGTGCGTGTGTGTGCGTGCGTGCGTGCGCGCGCGCGCGTGCGTGCGTGCGTGCGTGCGTCTGTGTGTGTGTGTCTAATCAGTTCAGTTAAATACTTTATTCATTTTTATTTAATTTATTTTACCCATTTAAAATATTATAGAACTCGCTAGTCGCTCTTAGTACAAACTAATCTGTATGGAATGGGAGGAAATGATTTATTAATCTGAAAAGGGTCTAAAATACCCTTGAAGTATTGAAAATAGTACAAAATTACCCTTCATCCACCTATTGGCTCCAAAATGCCCTTTTCATCTACCTATTGGCTCCAAAATATCCTTGTCATCCATCTTTGAGTTCAAAATTGACTACTTTTTTAATTGTTTTAAAATTAAACTCTTTAAATATTTTTAAAAATACTTGGGGTTCAACTATTGGTTATAATTTTAATTTATTAATATAATTTATAAACCAACCCACTACCCACTCATTACTAACTAAACCTCACTCAATTAATAATCCAATTATAATATCAAAATCGTCATAAATACTACTAAAACACGATGAAATTATAGATTCCTGAAAATGACATCTAAAATTATTCGAGTCCGAATCGAAGCCTCAATTTAAATTTAGGTTGAGCCGCTTATTTTGAAGGACACTTTCTTTCAATATTGAATTAGAAATTTATAGTTAAAGGTAAAGAAGTAATACATCCCGAATTAATTTTAAATATAATTTTATAAATATTTATGATTTGTTTTAAAATCTTTAATATATTATTTTGAAAAAAAGTTACCTATGAAGTAACAACACATAATTGAGACGTAAGAATAATTAAGATGAGCATAGTCAGACTTTTAAGTTTATCGGTGATTTTTATTTAGCCACTTGAATGTATGATAATTTACTTCTATAATTTTTAAAAACACTCAATTGGCAGTAGCTTGCATTAATAATGTGACGTGTTTATTAATTTAGATGGATTTAATTAGTAATGGGTGGGTAGTGGATTGATTTATAAATTATACTAATAAGTTAAATTATAACAAATAGTTGAGCGCCACCTATTTTTAAAAATATTTAAATAGTTAAAGTATAAAACCGTTAATTAAGTGATCAAGTTTGAATCAAAAGATGGATGACAATGGCATTTTGGACCCAATAGGTGGGTGAGAAGAGTATTTTGGAGCCAATAGATGGATGAAGGGTAGTTTTGTACCATTTCCAATACTTTGAGGATATTTTAGACTCTTTTCCGTTTATTAATTCCTCAAACAACTCCTAAGTAAAAGGCCACATATAAAGGAAACTGTATGGAATGGGAGGAAATATGAGTCCAGCTAACATAGCATAAAGTCGAAAGAAAAGGCATAGCTAAAGTTGAAAAGTAGCACAAACAGCCAAAGACTATTGGCAGCAGCAGCACGTCTTTCTTTACGTATCTTACTGAGGGAATGGTGGTGGCATTTCATCTTTCATATGACTTTTGCAAAGTTGGATTTACACTTTTTTGTTTTTTGGTAAAGTGGGGTACATCAAAATACTTCGCCTTTCTTATGCTCATTTATTGACAAAAAACACTTACTTTATTTTATTATTAATAGAAATGGAGAATGGTTGTATGTCATCTGTTTTAGATGCGTCATTTATTTTATCTTTTTGTGTTTTACCAAATTAAATGAAGTGTGTTGTTTCCATCAATCAAACGTGAATCGTGGTTATTTGAAATGGAAGAGCGTGTGAGGAAGTATAGGCAGCTGAGTCCAGAGAGAGCCAAAGTGTGGAGAGAGAAATCACCAAAATATGAGCAACAACAGCCAAGTCAAAGTGATGGGAAAGTGCCAGTGGTATACTATCTTTGTAGAAATCAACAACTTGAGCATCCTCATTTCATGGAAGTAACCATGTCTTCCCCTGATGGTCTATACTTGAGGGGTAACACACACGCTTCTCATTATTCATTTAGACATATATATATTGACGAATACGAATCTTGAATTTATATATCTTGTAGATGTAATCAAGAGGTTTAACGTTTTGAGAGGCAAGGGAATGGCTTCATCTTATTCTTGGTCCTGCAAGAGGTAAAGACTAAACAATTGTATAATTTTGCTTTTAGTCAAACAGGATATTACACAATTTTTCTCATCTGTTATTAACACAGAAGCTACAAGAATAGATTTGTGTGGCATGATCTTTCTGAAGATGATTTGATTCTTCCTGCTCGTACTACTGAATACGTTCTAAAAGGCTCCGAGTTTTGTGAAGAATTAAATTCAGGTATCTACAGTACACTATCACTTGAAAACACTTTTTTGGATCTATTTTTTTAGGAGAATAGACAAGTAACAAGTTTGGCTGCAGTGTTTTTTTTCCTGCTTTGTCAATATATAGGGACATAAGATTTCTGCATTTTAAGAAACGACAGTTGTAGCTTTAGACCTCAATTCTTTCCTTTGTAGGTCGATCCAGTCCTGCGAAAAATGAGAAATTGTCAAATCGAAAAGTATTACCAGAACCTCCAAGCCAATATGATACCTCTCCTCCGTCTAACACGAATGAAAGATGCGCAAAAAACTCTTGTGATGGTGAACCATCACTTCCTGCTGTAAAGGCAAACAGCGGTAATGCTAATATGTGTGATGTCCTGGCTGATGCTTCCGTTCAGATTCATGAAAAGACAAACACGGCTAATACAACTCATAATAATATTTGTACAAGAGGCATTTCAACGGATGATAGGTCATGTGCCGTTGAAATAAATCAGGTTCAGGTTAACGAGTTAACAGAGATACGCGTGGAGTCAGACACACTTCCACCAGATACTTTAATATCTCTCATCAGATCAGATGTTAGCAAGCTCAGCAGCTTCAGGAAACTTGATAGTGAGGAGTGTCGCGTTCCATCAAAGCTAAAGCCTCATAATATGCTTATGCAACTAATTTCTTGTGGATCAATTTCAGTTAAGGATCATAGATTTGGCTTTATACATACATACAAACCAAGATTAAATTTAGGAAAACTTGATTGCATTACAAGGAATAAGAGTTTAATGGGTTTGAATTTGGAAGACGAGGAATATATCTGTGCAAGCTGGACGGAGTCTACTATCCCCAAGGAAAACCAGTCATCCTTCGTCACTGCTGAGAGGTTTGGTACTTTGGTTACACTTATTTGGAGTTTCATCTGTGTGGAATATTTAAACTTCCTTTCAGCTAAAAATTATATTACGTCTTGAAAATCACGATTATATCTTCCCTAGAAAAAAAAAATCCATGGTGTTACCTTTATTTTATATATATATATTGTAAAATGAATTGTACGATGCAGGACAAATAGAAAGCCTGAAGATTCAGTTCAAAGTAAAGAGGGGGCAAGTTCTAGATGCTCAAAGTACGTTAGACATTCCACCACCAATGTGCCAAAAAATGAGTCATGGAGATGATCCCATATTTCGGAAGGAGAAACATGAAGTTTGCGAATCATAAATCCTTTTTGAGTATAGACTGTTATAGAAATGAGAAAGAAAATGTGGTTAGAATTGAAGGAGATCAAGTTCACAAATTTCCAGAATTGCTTAGATTATAATCTATATGGTCAAAAATCTCTTGTATTTATTTGAACTGGTATAGGAAAACAGAATGTGGAAATGTGTTGTTTTGATTCTCTTACAAATACTCCTTTGTTGCAACTGGTGTATACAGTATACCATATTTGTCCCAATTAAGGATGCTGAATAGTTAACAAGTATATTTAGGTGTTTGAATTGAATTAAAAATTGATCAAATTTATTTGTACTCAGTTTTAATTTTTGGAAGTGTTTAACAAATATAAAAAAAGTTATGTGTGACAAACAGGCTCTAGGATCCTGAACTTCAGGAGGGTAAACCATGCCTTATTGGTGAGGTTAGGAACACCACTATGACACGATCACCAAAAAAAAAAGCATTGAGTTTTTATCCAGCACTTGTTCTTACTTTTTGAACTCAATAAGTTCAATTATACATTATTAGTTAATATTTGTATTAGTTAGAATAGTTTTTTCTTTCCTTATGCTCTATCTTTAGCTAAACCTACAATGATACCCAACATTTGTATGTTGTTCGATACTGTCTCAAGGACATCCTCATTTGAAAAACCTTCTTTTAAAATCTTTTAGAAAAAATCAACTACTCCCTCGATTTAAAAAAGATTGATCTAATTTGATTTGATATGAAGTTTAAGAAAAGAAACAAAATTTTTAATTTTCTCGTTCTACATTAAAATTATGTCAAATGTACAAAAATATCCTTTAATTTAATCTCGTGGCTTAAATATGTCACATGGAAAGTTGAAGTTAAAGTGTTGCAAAAAAAAGAATATTTTTTTTTAAACAAACTAAAAAAAATTGAGTTATTCTTTTTGAAACATAGGAAATAATATTTGTTTATCTCTTTTTTTTCTTTTTCTTTTTTTTTATATAAAAAAAAACTTTTAACCAACACATTTGCCAAAAACTGTAACACTGAATTTTAAAAACTTTGTTTTCCAAGAAAATATATAATTAGCACTAATTTTCTTAGTGAAAATTAAGAAAACAAGCCAAAAAATTATGCAAGATATATATGCTTTTAGTAGGACCCAAGTCAAAGCAAGGCACTTTTTCGCAAAGAAACATTGTTGGGGTGTATAATTTTCCTATTATTATACAAATAATACAAGAATCTGATTCTCCTATCATGTGCACACTCAAAGTCACAAAAGCTGAGAATATATAGTTACCCATTGGGTTGGGTACGTGATTTTTACATTATAGTTACCCATTGGGTTGGGTACGTGATTTTTACATGGATAAAACATAGATTTAAATTCAT